TACTACAGCCGGTCTGGAGATGATAATGCCTAACAAAACGACCACTAGATGCGACAACACAATGATGATTCTTACCAATGACTGCTCCTACAAACACCAGTATTGTCATTGAGAAAATGAGGCAGATCAAAAATACGGATATCGACCCCAACAACGCCCTCCAGCTTCGTCTCTTTTCGTTTCGTTCCATCATTAAGACCGTCACGCGCAAACTCCCCAAACCAACGCATTCGGTTGTCCCGAAGCGGAGCGTTCATTGGGTTTCCGTCAAAGTCGATCTTTCTCTCAATAAGGTCCTGCGCCACTCTTGCGATTGTCATAAAATCTTTCCCAAATGATCGATAGCGACGAACAATTGGTCTCTCACAGAAAGAAGGTTTGAGCGGTGGACCTTCTGGTTTGTTTCGTTTATACCGCGAAAACTCCTTCGCAGCGCTTCCCCCAAGCCGCCTACCTCGGTGTTCAACGGGTCCTGGCTCTTCCTGAGTACCTTCCTGTTGCTGAGAGTCGTATTGCGCGTCATGAATTGCCCCCTTTGATTCTGAATCAGCGATTGTTTGAATCAATGAGGGGTTCATTCTGGTTTCAGGTGAACGTTTCTGTCTTGGTAATGATTGTCTTCCATTCGATGTAAAGGCTTTCTTTCTCCCTGGATTTTTGCGCAGTTTGCTGCTGGGCTCTGATTCACTTGGTGTGAAGGAGTCTTCACTCAAATGTGATTCTGCGGCAGACTCTCGGCCTAGCGAACGTTGCCTGTACTGACCGCGCATCGGTAGACTGGACAAACAGGTGCAGGCTGCTCTTTGCTTGGGGCCTTGTTAGGGACAAAAAGTCATGAAAACACGAAACACAGAGAACGACGAATCGACGGGTACATGCAATTATGTCTTAATCCATTCTATTGGGAATTGGGTATGGGACAGTTGGATACAGACAGCTTGTTCTGTTAGTTCCAAGTACGGACCCGTTGAATGCGCTGATTTCGATACGCCGAAGCGAAGATCAGACCAAGGATGAACTGGAGTGGCCAAACCCACATCCACCATGCCAACACAAAGCGGTGCCAGAGCCGACCTGCGCTGTGCATATAAAATGCCCACATGTTTTTTTGACTGTATGTTGAAATTTCCTGGATGTATGAATTGTTGTAGAGATGTGGCATGTGATCGAACACCTTCGAAGCGTCCCCTGGTACTGGGTAGTAATCAGCGCGGCGTCGAGGAACGAAATGCCTCTCAGGAAGTCCAAATCTCTCCACGTGATCCCCATGGGCGCAACGACGCTGCTGGAGATTCCATGAGCTGGCCACCAAGGAATGTCGAGAGAGGGTGTCTGGTCGAGTAAGAGGTTTCGAATAAGCTGCGGATAGAAGCCGCATTTTTGCAACGAGGATTTTCTTTTTTAGACCCTCAGTTCGCCTGATACGGAAGAGACATGGCAATGCAAAACCGCAAAACTGTACAACGTCCCGAAAAATAGCTCATACAACCAACTACCCAAAAAAATCAACCCGAGCCACAATTTTCTTCATTCTCTGCAGTTTCTTCTATCGGCTCAGCGATCGATCGTTAGAAAGCGAACAGCTCCGCAATCGAACAGATTAACTCGCTTCAAGATAACGCTCCATGTGTATGTAGTGAACCACAAACCAGTGTATGCATTTGGATGATAATTACGAATAATGATGGCGTGGGGGACTGATCGATAAACAGAGATGCGACTTGAAGAATCAACTCAAGTTCCTACCAGGCAGTAATCCAACCATCGTTGTTCGCTTAAGATAATCAAGGACTTCAGTTTGATTGATGAGCCCCCGTTCTTGACACTCAGTTTCAACCTAAAATCAAAATCGGATCCAGACTTTCAGAAAAGACGCACCATTGGCAGTAGACACGAAATCAATCTGAGGAGTGTGTGGAGGGGCATCCGGGATTTCCAATCAGTGAACCACTTCTCGGTTGGAAGCCACTGAGCGGCGGAGTCAGACAAACCAACCAGAGATCCCTCAGACTCTAAACTCGGAGAGAGATGATCCTGGAAACAGCGAGAAATATATTATTGGAAATGACTCGGAGGTACGCGTACAGTTTCCAGTGGCTCAGTAGCAGTTCCATTTGGCGGCGTCGCTGAGGGAGCGTGTTGAAGTGATTTGGGAAACTGTAAATTTTGCAAATCTATGAAAAGGTCCTTTTGCCGAAGAATTGAATATATTAAACAAAGATTTCCCTGACAAAACTTAATGCACTCGTGGTGAGGAGAGTCCAACTGACTTCATATTGGTACTGAACGGCGTTGTTCAAAACATCCAGCAAGAAGAAGACGTTGTGGTAGTGATAGGAAGCTTTGAACAACCAGGACGCTTTCGAAAAACGGCTAAGAAGATTTAGGAGTCTGATACAACTTTCCAGACAGAATGTCTTGACGTAAGCCGAACTGATGAAAAGGTATTTTTTGATTGCAACTCTCTGAGCCTTGTGCTTACATGTTAGACAGAACAGTGAGAAGCATATCAATGAGAGAATCATTTGCTACAGCACCCTGCAGTTGAAAACATAATAAGGAAGACACAAAATGAACTTACAAGTGAATCCAATATGACTCTGTAGGTAACGATGACCAGAAGATCCGCATGAGAACCTTGGAATGCAGGAAGAGGAAGGGGAAATCTGTCTTGATACTCTGCGTTCAATCCCACAGCAAATTCGCGTTCTGGTGAAGCAAAACAGTAGAAGTGCGAGTCGTCAGTCAATCTGTTACCTGATGATAAAACAAGCAAAATGAAACTGCAAAGATGCAAAAGTCCAATTCGCTCTTGATCAAATGTTGTCGATCTCTCGGTGGGCAGTCGTTGTTGTTCTGTATCCAACGTTTTGGGGGACTCGGTCTCAAATCTTGGAGCAGATTCGATTTCAGTTCGACGCACAGTAGAATTCTCAAGTAGTAGAACAAGTAGAGGTTGGAGAACCTTATTAGCATTTACACGCGAAGCGACTCTCCGTGTGAATTGAGGATTGATCGTGAGCATGTGCCAGAAAAAAAACAAGAAGTTCTTGGTAAGCAGGAAACTGTGATCAGATGGAAATGCAACAACGGTGCAGGGGGGGATTCCACTTACGACTTTCCCACCACGCAGGTAAGATGATTTTGACTTCGACACTGTCGCCAATAATTGAAGGACTCCACTGAACACCAAATCAATTTCTGAATCGCGTTTCATTCCGGCGAGCATTAAGCGGTACGCGTTGCGAACCACGGGAACAGGACCCCTAAAGAAACACAAGAGAAGTCTGGTAAGCTTTTGCTTGCTGAGTCTTCTCACCTTTTAACGGTATCGTTCTCATCTGGTCTGCGAGGATCAATCGCGATCTGGCTTTGATTGTGGGCATTCGGACGCTGATTCTGAGAATTGGGGGAACCTGGTTGACCATCGGGTCTGGTATCAACTTGTTGCGTTTGGGACGGCTGCTGTTGCTGCTGGGCGGTGAAATTGAAGTCGACCAGAACACATAACAACCTGAAGAGAGATAGTAACAAGCTCTTCCTCTTCAGCAGATGAAAAAAACCCAAACACCTGAAGTGACGAATCAATCAATAAGAACAAGGAGTTGGATCTTACTTTGGCCGACGGGTCATAAGAAAAGATAGTGCTCATCAGGGAACAATAAAGATTTGCCGTAAATGGAAGGTAACCTCTGGTAGCAAACCAAAGCCACAAAGGAGGAGAATTTGACTGATTAATTTTCTACAGTCTATATCAAAGAAAGGGAGATTGCATGCAGGATGATTTCAACTTAAGGCCATACAGAATAAAGAGTTGAAGATAAGCAGCCCAGAAGACACCGTAAGACTTCACTTCTTGCTTTTAGCATTGCAGCTGTTGGGACTGGAGTGTCTTGTACCGCTCCAACTCCGCCCTTCCATAGAAATCGTGTATCCACTTTGTGCTTAGGAGGAGCCTCGTCCTTCGCAATGACGACACCGGGGGGCGGAAACAGTGAATCCCCTCAAGAAGAGCAACCGCTGCAGGACGGCTAAAATCTGGAGCAACAGAGGGCGTACAGTAGCATGCGGGTTCTGACTTGCCTGCACAGCTAGAATTGGCGTCTCAGGCTTCTCGTGCAGCGTTGTGTCTCCTTGCTTTGACCCTGGAAGACAACCGGCCATCAAGGATTATTGCACATCCATGAGAAAGAACTTACGACTTTGCCAAAATAGCGAGTAGAGAAACTCCGCTTCTGAAAGCAGATGAGGTTCAGACGGCTTGTTCGAGCGATTGAAGTCATCGATTGAAAGAGAGCGAGTCTGTTGCTCGTGTGATGATTGATCGAGTGATGGGGTGGTTGTTTCAGGAGATGGCAAGACATCAGGATCCGCAATTACTCCATTGGGGCCACCAGGTTGAATTGGAGTAACTTCCAACAAAACTGGAATGAGGCGAGTTAATAAACGAACGCATGTAAGAGCTGTCTGCTGCTCTTCTTTTGTCAAAGCAACCTGGCTGTGAGTTCCCTGATTGACAATCGCGCTTAATTCATTCAACACCTGAAACACCAATTGTAAAATAAATTAGCATCCAATGCTCACTCTTGTGAAGAAATTCTCCAAATTCGGGCTTTGCTGTTGTCTCAACGATCGAATCTTTTCGGTCGTCAGCATTGACTGGACGGCCTCCATTTCCAGTGGCGCGCGCAGCAATGAATTCCAAAACTAAAAACACATAAGAGAAGGTTGCGATCAGAGTGCGAATGTCAGTTACCCCATCGTCATCCACACGCGTATCGCCTTCAACAAACTGGTCGAGTTTGTCCTTATATACAACTTTACTGTCCACACTGCCCATGATTGAAAAGTCAATTATGAGCCAATCTCACATCCAATCGTGTGCCAGCGATACACTTGAGAGCAAAACCTTCAGCCAAAAAAAACACCACTGGTTGTGACTTCTGGTGGGACTTATAGTTTGGAGCTTCTGTGACTGGTCGTGTACCTTTTTTTGACATATGGCATTCTCGTCGTCATTAATAAAAGGTTCCACGACATTTGCACGTCTACAGCGACAAGCGAGGAAGCTGTCCGTTTTGGCCAGCGTCCAATGTCCAATTGTGTCATCATATCCTTTGACACAATGGATCAGGACGTGCCAGCCACCCAACTTAGCAACTCGCAGCTTTTCTACTTCATCACAAGATCCTGAGGCTTCTTCCAGAATTTCTGATGAGTCGTCTTCCATGACTTCTGTCGAATTGAGTCGTCGTCTAGGACTTCTCACGCTTTTCATGGGACTTGTAGGACTCTCATTTGGGATGTCTGGATGGTGGGACGATACCACTTCAACAGCGGACTGTCAGGCATCTAAAGAATCGACTGATAAGTCGAAGTCTTCTTTAGTTCATCGTGGATCAGATGACGAGGATGACGCTAATGGAGCAGCAGATTTTTTTGTAGAACGCAATGTTGATGAAGGGTTCCAAATTTTCACAGGGACCTCCAATCCTGAACTAGCTAGGGAAATTTGTAGTCATTTGGGTGAGTTGATGACAGGTTCGAAGAGAGTTGTGTGGACGTGAGTTCTCTTCCAGGAATTCCTTTGGGACGCTCAAAAATTGGAAGATTCGCTGATGGAGAAGTAACGCTGGAGGTTTTGGATGAAGTAGGTTTCAAGCATTGAGAGATGCGTTCAATTTATTGTGCGGTTCAGGTTCGCGGCAAAGACGTCTTTGTGCTGCAATCAGCTCCTTCGGCTTCTTCCAACAAGTCACCTCACGTACGACTTGAATCGTTTCTTGATGACGTATTTATTATCGCCATAGGCTTCGCTGATGGAACTTTTCTTTTTGGTTGCCGCGTTGAAAAGGGCGTCTGCTAAGCGCGTCACCGCTGTGCTTCCTTATATGGTAAGATCCGTCTGCCACCAGCGCATACATGTCGTTCGTTCCTGTCTATTCATGTCGTTATCTTTCAGAGCTATTTTCGTCAGACAACTCAGACAGATCAATCAAAGCCGTTCGCTGCGGCTGACGTGGGACGAATTCTGACAACGATGGGTGTCGATCGAGTTGTATTTGTTGATGTTCATTTGCGCAGAGCAGAAGGGTTTTTCCCTCCAATTCCTATAACCAAGTAAGCTTGTATTCACCTGTTGGCTGTCTCACTTGCTTGCTGCTAGTCTTCAGCCTCAGTCACTTGCTATCGAGTACCTCAAGTCAGTTTCAGCTCGCGGCCCTTCTGTCTGGATTTCTCGAACTCTTTAGGCGGAAGAACGAGCTCGGTAAAGCCGTTGTTGTCATATCAACGGACAACACGGGAACTGAAAAAGCCGAAGCATTTATGTCCAGGATGCAGCAGGCGGGATTTGATGCTGGGTAACTCAGATATTCCGCCTCGCTCTTTTGTTCTGATTTTGTTGCTTTCATTTTGTCCTTAGAATGGCAACAGTAGTTAACAATCGAGCTGAGCGACCTCAAAAAGAAGCTGGTACATTCGCGGTGAATCCAGGGAATGAAGTCAGTATTGTTTGCAACGGTGTTTCTCCTCCGAACGCGTCCAGAAAAATAGAAGAGTGGCTAGTTGGAGATGTCAGTGGTAAAGACTGTGTGATAGTTGATGATATTATCGACACGGGAGAGCGAGCAGTGAACGCAGCCTACGCCCTGAAAAAAGCTGGAGCCCGTCGTATTTTTATGTACGCGACGCATGGTAAGCACCCATTCTGATTGAGGACCCCAGCCCATATATTTTCAATCTGGCTGCAGGGCTGTTTAGTCGCGGTGCGATAGATCGTATTATCAAGTCTCCGATTAGAGAAGTTGTTGTCACGGATACAATTCGACTTCCTGAGAATTTGTATTGCGAAAAGCTGCGGGTTATTAGCGTATCGAAATTGTTAGCTGAAACGGTCCGTCGTATCCATCGCAAAGAACCCCTTTCCGATTTACACCGCGATTCACGATTCGATCGGAAGATCATCGAAACGTATTACCACCAATAGTCTGTAAATTTTTTCGTACATGCGTTTCGAATTCAACAGAAATCAACTTTGGAATACAGCAGCACGTCTCTCGCAATTCTTCTGTGTCGTTGGCAACCGCACTACGCACAACAGACGAACACACTATTAAATTTTGAAAAACAAAACACAAAACAAAGCTAGATGGAGTTATTTGGTTAGTCTCCTTGTTATGCGGGATAAATACGGCGTATAGTAGGTGTCGAACAGCTTATTACGAAACTTATATTCGGGGTCAATTTGATTTTTTAGTTCAAAAAATTCGACAGCGCGTGGGTATGCTTCATGAAATTGCCGTTCTGTTGCGTGAATTTGATACGGCAAGTAGAATTTTCCGCCGCAGGATAACACGACATCGATCAACTCACGCGTCCACACACGATCTTGTTCTTGCGTTTGTTGGTTTCTCTCTTGCTGGTAATACACGACAAATGCGAAAACCTCTTGCGTAGCCCAAGCGAGAATCGATCCTGGGTCTGGACGAGACTGTCGAATCGATACATTCATAACATCTACTTTATATCGCAGAAGGACAGATTTCATTCCAAGTACAAACTCTTGAAATTTAGTGAGTGGAACAAAATATTCTTGAAGTATAAACGTTGTATCTTCGAACAGCGGCTCAACGTCTGCTGTCTCGGAGGTGGCTTCGTAATTTCGGTGCAAAACAATGCCTTTAGAAAATCGGACGGGGTCCAGCAACTGTCTTCGTATCTCCAGCCTTCCTGGCAATCTTGTCATGGCTGAAGTCAGAAATCGATTCATAGAAATTCCTCGTTTTTTCGAGCGCAACCGGTGGACGATTGTCAACGGCTTGAACGTTTTCAAGTGCGCCACAACTCGAACTTCAGAATATTTGTCAGGATATAAAAGAGCATTGTGCATGATCACATTGGGGTCGTCTCGTAGATTCTTCATAAAGAAGTCAACATATTGGTTAAGCTGAAGTGGAATTGATACTCGTTCCATTTTAAAGTTCTCTGACAGTTTCAATGTCACCTCTGTAATTACACCCAGACCCCCATAGCCACCAATTGCTCCATAGAATAGTTCACTGTGCTTGAAGGGACTTGCTTGAATCACAGTTCCATTAGCGACGATGATCTTAATGTCTTCGACTGTGGATATTAAGGGGTTTCGATATCTGCCATGAACATTCACGCTAAGTGAACCACCAACTGTGAAACTCGCGTAGGACTGCATCACCGAAACCGATAGATTGTCTGCATCGATCAATTTTATAATTTTTCTCCATGTTATTCCAGTTTGAACCGTAATCAACCGCTCTTCTTTAGAGTAATTCAAGACTTGGTTGAATTTCCTCATGTCTATCACCAAAGCTCCTTCGGTTGCAATTTGGCCCCCCTACAAAAATGAAGAGATTCCCATTCAATGTTTCAGCTGCCTAGAGACAGAGCAATCACTTCTGCCGTCTATATATATAATAGTTAAAATAAGATGATCTGGATCAGCTCTCTAGATGTTGTAGAAATCCAACTCACCATGCTGAAACGCCCCCCTCCAATCGAAATCGGGCCAGGATGCCCTCGAATTGCATTGACAATATTGTCTTGAAATCTTGGAACAATTTCTTTCTCGATGGTTATGGGATTTAGATGTGAGATATCATTAATAACTGGAAATTGAGACGCATCAGGAAGAAGAACAAGAAAGAGAAGAAAATATTTCATGTGTGCGATCCACAGGCACAGCAATTGTGGCCGGGCGGTTACACAAAACTTCAGGAATCTAATTAATTTTCATGGAAATGAACATTAAAAATAAAATACAATGAACCGGCTTCCAATAATCATCGTTTCATTAGTTGCCTATCTGCCAGGATATTAAATTGGCTTCATATCTTCCGTCGTTTTCACTTCCTGTTGCTCGGAAAAGCCATTAAGGGCTTACATTCCACTTTAGCGTATGTTGTGTCGATGATGAAAATACAAATACCACTTTTGTTCAAACGGATGATCGTTGCCTGAACATCGGTGTATCTGAACAAACGTTGATCCAGACTTGAAACGCCAGCAAGCACCTCGTTTTCATAGATGAGTGATGAATGTAACAATTCGGTGAATCGACTCCCTTCAAAATTGAACCAATTCCGGATCTGTACTTGATATTCTAAATCATAGGTTTGAGGTTTCAAATTTTCGCCAAAATGCCGTTCAGATTTACAAGGCGTGACGTAAGAGACACTGCTTCACTCAGAGTCTGTTGTTTTTGGAACACAAGCATCATTTTCTTTCCTAGAATCATCATAATCATCACTCGGCATCCTACTGGGCAGCTTTGGTGCATCAGTTTCGACAGTGAACGCATCGACAGCTAACGCAGCGCCTTAGACCACTCGGCCAACTTGTCCCCTACAGATTGATTTTTGGTCAATAATTTTGTAAGAGAGTCTTTGAGACTTTAGAAGCATGTATAATGACAAGTGTGGGATTCGAACCCACGCCCTTTCGGACTGCGACCTAAACGCAGCGCCTTAGACCACTCGGCCAACTTGTCCCATGCAGATTGATTTTTGGTCAATAATCTTGTAAGAGAGTCTTTGAGACTTTAGAAAAGTTTTTGATTGCATGTATAATGACAAGTGTGGGATTCGAACCCACGCCCTTTCGGACTGCGACCTGAACGCAGCGCCTTAGACCACTCGGCCAACTTGTCCCCTATAGATGGATTTTTGGTCAATAATTTTGTAAGAGAGTCTTTAAGAAGTTTTTGATTGCATGTATAATGACAAGTGTGGGATTCGAACCCACACCCTTTCGGACTGCGACCTGAACGCAGCGCCTTAGACCACTCGGCCAACTTGTCCCATGCAGATTGATTTTTGGTCAATAATTTTGTAAGAGAGTCTTTGAGACTTTAGAAAAGTTTTTGATTGCATGTATAATAACAAGTGTGGGATTCAAACCCACGCCCTTTCGGAATGCAACCTAAACGCAGCGCCTTAGACCACTCGGCCAACTTGTCCCATGAAGATTGATTTTTGGTCAATAATTTTGTAAGAGAGTCTTTGAGACTTTAGAAAAGTTTTTGATTGCATGTATAATGACAAGTGTGGGATTCGAACCCACGCCCTTTCGGACTGCGACCTGAACGCAGCGCCTTAGACCACTCGGCCAACTTGTCCCATGCAGATTGATTTTTGGTCAATAATTTTGTAAGAGAGTCTTTGAGACTTTAGAAAAGTTTAAAGACTGTGACCTGAACGCAGCGCCTTAGACCACTCGGCCAACTTGTCCCCTGAAGAGTTCTTCATCCGGACCACACTGAGCGAAGCCCATCCTGTAATTATAATTATTGTCACAAAGACGATGGCGGCAATTGTCGCTTGGTCGGGGCGAAAATAATCAAGTGAAAACGTTGGGATGGTGCGGTCGAAGAGTTCAATGAGGTCCGTGAAGGTTCGGTAAATCTCGGTGGTAAGATTGAACCATCCATCCACAGATTTGGCATAGAGGATTGGCCCAAGGTACTGGATTCCCCGAATCCCCACGAGGATGAGAAAACCCCCAAACACGTAAAGTAGGGTTCGCACGACCTTGCACAACAAGGGGAACAGCTTGATCACAATAAAGAGACTCAAGCTGGCAATCAACGTTAACGTTGCACCCTGCCAAGCTCCAGAAGGGAAAAGAATCTTGAAAGTGGCGGAGGACATCATTTCCCAGTAGACTTTAGGTTTTTTGTTTGTTAAAAAGGTTTAATTTTGAGGCTTAAACAAGAATCAAAAAAAGAAGGGGGAAAAACTGAGGTAATTATGTAAGTATATACACTTTGCATGCACATGGAAGTAGATTTGAGACGTCGAGACAAGCTGGCCGCTTAGGCCAACAACTTTTCACCAGCCCCCCTTTAAAGGCCAGCTTCGTCGATTCTTCTCCGCTTCCCTCGCACAACTTCGAGTTGAGGGTACTTCATCTCTTTCCAAAACTGGTTGAGCTTCTCACGCCGGAACTGCGGATCGAACATCGAGTTAACAGACTGTAGGACAATATGATTCCATTCTTCTTTTTGGAGCTCCGTTTGTGGCGGGCTCAAAAACCGGACGTCTTGGATGTGGACAACGCGCTCATCCCGAGTGAGGAGATTCCGTACTAACGCCTTTTTTTTGCTTGCATACACCGAAACAACTCGACATGGCAGAGACCATTTTGGGATCAGTTTATGCTCGTGGTCGCCTGAGTAGTGGGCGAATTTCGTCCGATCATAGTCGTTGGCCTTCACAAGAACTAACTGATGGAGCTGGAATTCCGCAGGGCTTCGATGCTTGTTCTTGCGTTCGTTTTCTCTAATTCGTTTATCATATGCTTGCCACTGGATGTCTAAGCGCATTTCGTTTAGGAACTTCAGGCGGTCTTGCATCGTGATATCTCGTTGAAATCGCCAGTCATTGTCCGCTGGGGCACGAAGATCTGTTCCATAAACCAGGAACGCGGGAGACTCGCCTGTGGTTGAATGGAGCGTGCATCGGTACGAGTATAGTACCAAATTCAAGGCTTCTTCGAAAGGAACATGTGGACGGTTAGCAGGAGGTGTGAAGGAAGTGAGTCCTCGATTCAATGTGCGATGGAAGGATTCGATGGTAGCGTTCCCTTCAGGATGACGTGGGGGTAATGGTCAACGCTTTCGTGCCGAACGTGCCATGAACATTTGCGAGCAGCGATCCCGTGAACGTCTTGTCATTGTCTGTCACAATCACGTTGGGGACGCCGAAACGGCAAATCCAGGATGTGACGAAGGCTGAAGCGACGACTGCTGCTTGAGTTGAGGGGAGGGGAACGCGATGGGATTAACTATGTCCAACCTCCTTGGATTCTGCGGCACTAATTGCAACAAAAAAATGAAAGAGATACTAAAAATCCCCACATGGATTTTTAGCCCACAACACCACCATCTTTCACGCTTTTTGTCAGCCACCAGTCGCTTTCTATCATCAACTCGCTCTCCCTTGACTCCCGCATCTGTCAGGTCACTCTAGCCCGTGAATTTCACTTTAGTTCTCATGTGCCCTGGCGGTCACTACTGCGCACCTTGTGTAGGGGTGTCTGATTCAGTCGTAATTACAAGGACCTGCGGACACATTCGACTCTATCTAGGCGACCCCTTTCCATTTGGAGAGTTATTAGACTTGCTGGACTCAATTGTGGGACACTGGCATTCGACACTTGTATAGGTCGTCCTATACCTCGTCACTAATTCTTTATGTTTCGTTCAATGCCTGGATAGAAGGCTACCCCCACCCGCCATCGATTGTTGGAATGCCCGCATGTCAAGTATTCTTTGATGAATTTTGGCTGTCAGAAAAAGTGCCAGCAGAGGGTTGTGATCCGCCGACCTTACGGTCCTAAAGACAGCGCCATACCAACTGTACCAACCACTCTTTTCTTTCAAATCTTTCGGAGGCCGGGCCCGCAAAAGTGACCAAGTCTGCAATTTTCCACATTCACGCCATTCACGCACAATTTACCAGAAAAGATCACATGAGCATGAAATACTCCCAAAATGCACGTTTTCGCTTTTCCACTTCCCCCTAGTCAGTCTAGATCCATTCTTCCCCATTCTTCTGTTTTTAGAAGCTTTTTGTCTTCTTCTTTAAATTTTGTTCCACCTTCCCCCACAACCAACCATTTCCAGCATGAACCCCCTCCGGATCTGCACTTTCTTGCTCTTCCTGGTATCCTTGCCAGTGATTTCCAAAGGGAACCCCATGGACTTCGTTCAACCACAAGCCCTACCATACACATTTCCACCCATATATTCATCCATCATCACCCAACTCTCCATTTTATCCAACTATCTCATCCTTCTTCTATTCATTATCATTGCATTTCCACTCCTCCGCTCTTCCATCATGCTATTCATCAAGTTATATCTATATCCATTTGCCACCCTTCTTCTAAATCTCTCTGGATTGACTGGTATCTTCATTTGGATTTACTGGAATTTCCACCCTTCACTTTCCCTCATTTCTCTTCCTTCTTTCACTGCCTTCTTCCCTTTATCATCCACTCTAACCTCCATCTTTACTCTCCATACTTCCACCCTATTCACTTGCATTCTATCATCATCTATCATCATTAATATCATATTCATCTATTTTTCATACCATACATCATTTTCATCATCTTTGTCAACCCAATGCCCAGCAGGGGGCAAAAACCCGCCTAGTTCTGTTGAGGGTTTACTCAACGTTAATGGCTCCAAGGCCGGGAATGATCCAACTACCTCCCGAGTAGATGAAAAAATTCCAGAAAATTTTCCAACCCCAATTTTTTCCAGCCAACAACAATCAACAGCCCCACTCCAAGCCATCTACCAAGTAGTCATGCCGCACAACCAATCCACAAATCCACCATCCACCTCCCAGCAACAACCCACAGATCTCCACCATCAATTCTCAACGGAAAATCAACCAACACCAACCATCAGTACTCCACCATCAGCCCCACCATCAGTTCCAACTTCAACAGTTTTTTCAACGGAACCAATAGTCAACGAATGTCATTTGCAAGTGTCATTCGATAACGCATGGGATTACGACTTCGAAGAAGATGTCGACATCGAAACAGTGACCATTTGCCCTTTGAATGTTTCAGAACTTGTCAAAAGTTTGGGTGCAAACTCAAATGCAACAGAAGAAGAACTTTTCATGAAGTTGCTGGACAGACGCCGTGAAAAACGCGAATTGGCCAGAAAAAAGCATCAGCAACCCCTTGATCCAGAACTCTTCAAAACCACGCTTTTGTCTATCAATGACCTACGCCGATACATGATCCAAAATTCGGGAAAAGAAAGGCAATGGACCAAGCGGGGTATGGAGGTAATTCCAGATGGGTGGAAATCGTTGACACCCTACCAATTGAATGCTGAACTAAGAAAGTGGCGTGATAATGTTTGGTGTGAGCACATGCAGACCAAGGGAATTCAATTGGCTCAATGTTCGAAATGTCGTCTACTAGTTCGCCCCGACAACCACAAGTGCGTTTTTTCTGAAGCACCCGGAGTGACCTACGAGAAGGGAGTTCCATTGCGTGAAGGAGTTCAAGTTGTCGCGTCTGGAAATAAAGTCCGAACGAAAAAAGTCAAGCAACCAGATTTAGAACTTCTCGGCGAAAAGATAACCGAATTACAAGCTTTGGCCGAAGAACAGAAGCAACGCCAACAACCACAACAACAAGAAAAACATCCAGAAAATGACATGGAGATGGAAAACGACAAAGAAAATGATGTTGAATTTGCTGAACAGGTCAAAGATAATCCACTATTTGCAATGCTCAAATTAAAGAACAATGACGACTTGTTGGACCACTTGGCCACCCTCTTTCTTGACATGTTCGTAGATGCCCGCGTAAAGTTGGCTGAAAGCAACAGAGAGAAGGCAATGAGTGAAAATGCCTTGAAAGCATTCCTAAAAGATAGTGATCTTGTTGGCCATTCCTCATCCAGTCCTGAAGAAAATCGGGCCTCGGGCCGAGCGGACACAAACGGCTGCCAGGTCGTCCTGCTGGCAGCCGAACAAGAAAAAGATAAGTTGACTAATGTTCACTTACAAAAAACTGAAGTTTCGAGTCATCCGACCACTTCAAAGTCGTGTTTTGTCGCTAAAAATGCCCGGTCTGCCCACGAATTTTCCTCTGTTCAGGCATGAAATGTCTGCGCAAACAGAATTAGAGAAAGATGTCAAAAACTGCACAAAGAAAGGATTTCCTTCATCCATGCCTTGAAATTATCTCTAATGAACGCCGGTCTGTTTGCCAGCACTCAACATGAAAAATCCGGTGGATCTCCCGCTCTCGCACCTCTGTGTCTCGCACTGACGCAAAAAGCAACGAAAATTGTCAAGAACAACCAAAACAAGCGAGTCAAGTTGATCAGCCCTTTGCTATGGATCAAAATTGAAAGCCCAACTACAACTTTCCGAGCATTGATTGATACTGGAGCTGCCATTAATCTGATTTCCCCAAAAGCAATCAACGACTTTCCCCACTCACCGTTGGTTCGTTATCCAGTGGCTCTTCAAGGTGCTCTTGGTTCAGAGGATACATTAAATTCTTGGTACTCAGTTTCCATCCAATTTCCAAGTTCCAAGACAATTTCCATCCCATTTCTCCTCGGCTCCGACAACA